CGGGTCTACCTGCCTTGTGGAAGTCCTCTGTAGATCAGGAATGCCGAGGCCCAGCGGACCCTCTCTGGAAAACGAGCTGGTAGAAGAAGCCGCGGTTCCGACCAGACCCGTCTTGGAAAATTTCACACACACACACACACACACACACACACACACACACACACACACACACACACACACACACACACACACACACAGCTGCCTCGCAGATTTTTTACTTTTTCCACTCAGATTTCGGCTTGAATATTCAACAATGAAAGTAACGTTACGCGTTCACATTCACCAAAAGATGGCCGGTCCGGCCCACTGACACAGACACGCACGCACGCACACACACACACACACACACACACACACACACACACACACACACACACACACACACACACACACACACACACACACACACACACACAACACACACACACACACACACACACACACACACACACACACACACACACACACACACACACACACAGTTTACCTTACCAGAACAGCAGCGAGTGGCGAACCGGAGGGAGAGAAGAGCAGTGGGCAGGACGAAGCAGGGAGAAGGGGGGCGGGGGTGTTACGCTATAGTTTAGGCAGGATAGTTTTTCTCAGCTTTTCTACGATGATTGACTTAAACTTCTTCATCACGCCGCCGAGTCGTGTTGTCGGACATGAGTACAACACGTAATTATTTGCTACAGAACTCAACTCACGTATCTGCAGCTTTTTGCGTAGTTTAGAGGGGTGAGTTGTACCAGCATAAATAGATACCAAATTGCGTACTGGCTATGCAAAACGCGTACAGGTTGGCTGGTCTGCTAGCTTAAAATTTCTTAACAACATTCAAACATAGTATAGCTATAAATGTGAAAACAACGAATGAAGAGGTTCTCTCACCTTTAAAGGTCGAAACCGGCTAGCGGTCTCGCCGAACCCCCAGTGGGAGGGGCTGAGAGCGTTAGCTGGTTCTGTAGATTCACTTTTGCAGCTTTAAGGTTTCTAAAATAACGTCTCATGAACTTTAAACTTTCCTCTGAGCGAAGGACGTCCAGGAAGGATAAATAAGAATAAAATCTAACTTTTGCAAAATCATTGAAAACTGAATTCTTTAGCAAATGTATTTTAGCGGCTTTCAGACGCTGCAGGAGCTTAGGCGTGGTCGAGTATTCATCCAGCCCGATGAGCTGGAGTATTTTCATAAATGGAGGTCAGTGTGACACAAGTCTGGCTTCGAGCCTCAGGCTGGATTCACAATAGCATCCTATCTGTGTCACAGCTCAGCGGAAACCATTAGCCTGATCCCAGCTCCTTTGTTGGTTTATTTACAGCTCCCTTTTGGGGAGGTGGTCTCAGCCCCTCGTAGGAGGCCGTTTCTGATTCATAGCTAAAATCACAAGTGATCTCCTAAGGAGAGTTTCCTGAGGTCGGTTTCAGGACAGGTTGATGCCACCATGAGCGGTTCTGAGAACGCAGCATCTGAAGAGGTTTAGTAACGTTCTCTAGCTCATTTTCATCGCTAGAGAATTCAATTCAATTCAAAGATGCTTTATTAATCCCAGAGGGAAATTAGAGTTTCAGTACACACAATTCAGAGATCAGACATACATAGACAAAGACACATGACAAGAATTGGTGACTGTGGTCATTCGCAACCCTGAGTCGCACTACCTTATTAGAGATCAGAGGGGTTTACATGAGGATTGGGTTAGGTGGAGGGAAATAAAAGGCACTTCAGAGTTACCCTCCACAGGGAGGGCAGCTTTGCTATGCAAAAAACACCTCAAACAGAAATGCAACAGACTTCAGACATTACACAACATGAGTGTCCACTAGGTGGGGAGGTGGGTTTGGGACTCTCCACACGTCAGTGGCTGCAGCCACGATTATCAGCGCATGTCACCTCAGTCTGGACAGCGGAGGGAGGTCGTTGGGGTTTGGAGGGCACAGTGACTCCTGGAATGATTTGGCGGCCTTCACAGCCCGCAGTCCCGCCCAGGCTGGGATAGGGAGACAGAGTTGCCATAGCGACGGCAGCATTCCACATTTCTTCTGAGGGGGGTTTCCAGTTTCCAGAAAAAATGCAGAAGCAGCCGTACACCCAGAGAAAAAGAGCCTTGGGATAAGATAGGGAGGAGAGGAGGAAAAAAAGCGTCTGTACTCTCCAAAAGTCGGAAGAACACAATGAATGAAAATGGATCAAGAACAAAAAGTCTCTGAAAACCACACAGCCTGCGTGGTGCATTCACCTGGATTTCCCAGCAGACATCGCAGCAGCGTGAGAGGGCGAGGAGGAGAGAAAAGTGACAGCCTTAACCTTTAGGGTGTCATCTGGGACGGTAGTCACACAGAACCTGCCAGGTGGGGCGAGTGGACCGCTGCCCAGAGTCCAGGACCTTCCAGTACCCTCCATCTGCTGGAGCAGAGTCGCTGCTACGCCACCAGGAGGAAACGATTAGCACAACTCGATGGTGAGGGAGGAGGTAAAGAACAAAGACATTAAGGAGGAGCAGAAGTTGGATTGATCACTGCTGACACCAAAGTAGAAGACGAGTGGAAGCAGAGCGTTGGCGTCGGTGTGGGGGCGGTGACAGATGACTCACCCGAGACGGTGAGAGTTGGAGAACGGAGCCATCTGCTCCTTCAGGGGCTTCTGCTCGTCTAAAATCTCTGTCCAACGGCAGGACACGGGCCCAATGGTGGATTAATGATGTCGCACAAACAGCTTCTTAGTGAATGCCGAAGTCGCTGTGATCAATCGTGTGTTTGGTGAAGTCAGCAGCTTAGGAGGTTGAGGGATTGGTTGGTTGTGTGGTTTTAGCAGCATCTGCTGAATATGGAGGAAAAACCGGGAGCGAGCAGCTCAGCAGGTCTGAGAAAGAGGAGTTTTCAAATAAAAGGTCAAAAAAACAAAGTGTTCTTACGGGACTAGTCCCGAATACCTCCATCCAAGGCTGAACAGGGTCAAAGGTCTGCTGACTTACACAGACAGCTCAGAGAAAACATGGTTTTTGTTTGTTTAGTTTGACTGAAGTAGAAAATGCAGAATCTAGGATGCATTTGTGCAGGAATCATTGGTTTGGTCAGTCTGACGGTGATCCCAGCAGATGAAGTTAACGAGTCATGAGAAAAGGTTTAACTGAGTAGGAGAATACATCTGTTAAGGCGGCGGTTTTGGCCTTGTAGAGTTTTAAAAGCCTCTGATTCGGATGCCAGGAGTTCATCCGTGCTGCATCACTTCCTCTTCCTGCAGCTTGCAGGTTACAGAGGGTCTTTGTGCGGAGCAGGGCCATTCCTGCAGGTTGTCTCAGCCCTGCTGCAGCTCTTCAGACACTAAAACCACACGCCCAGCAGTGGGAAAGTGTGCCGTTTGTTGGCTGGATGATTGTGAGCCATTGTCCCAGCAGCACAGGCTGGGAGGCAGATAGAGCTCCATTGTGGCTGGTATAAAGCTGCGGCAGGACCGGCGGCCCTGGCAGACACCGGCTGCTGGACTGTCAGAGGAGTTTTGCATGAATAGTGGAGTAATTCAGTCAGTGGCGACAAGGTGATTAGCATTTTGAGTGGATTTACCGCCGGCTCTGATCCATTCACAGGGTGCTCAGGTTTGTTTCACACATTTAACACACAGCCCGGTGGACTCGGTCCATCAGGAAGAGGTTTACCAATCGCCACGAGTTAGTGCAGCCCTTCCAACACAGGACTAGGATGGAGGTCCATCATCATCCTGGCAGGGATGTTCTAGAATAAACATGAGGATTTTCCAGAAGTTTTGTTAGAAACATGAAAAAAATGTTCATGTCTCAGTTTGTGTTTCTCATTCATAGAATAGATCTAAATCTATCAGCACACGTGGTGCCAACGGGATAAATGACTTGATAGTTTCAGATCTGATAAATAAGGGTTTACAGGTTCGTTTCTCACAGGAACAAAACTGTCAACACAGAGCTGGAAATGCAAAAAGGCTAAACAAATACATACAATTCCATTAAAACTGATACCTCAGGATGTCCTGATATGGACACCATACTTTTGCCAGCAACTCCTCCTGAGGTTTTCTCATATTTCTGCGATCACTGACACTAACAACCCAAACAGGGTAGTTCCAGATGGTCTCCAGACCACTGAGACTACTACATGAAAGATCCAGACTCGCGAGGACATTATAAAGAGTCGCCCAGTCTCTCCCAGCTAGAAATGGGCTTTAGGACGAGCTTTGTTGGGTATTTTTTTAGGTATCAGCGATCAGAGTCAGAACAAACAAAGCCTTTTGCTTCAGTTCTGCCTGATTAGCTGAAGACTTTCTTCCCTGTGAAGCAGACAGATGGTGATTATCTGAAAAAGCCTTCAGCTGCTGGAGCGAGCCAGGAATCTGCAGGTGTGTGTGTGTGTGTGTGTGTGTGTGACTGTTTTTCTCGACGTGTGTCTCTCTCACTTCCTCTCCATCGTGTCGTCCTTTAGCTCTGAGAGCTGAAACGTAACCGCATCAAAGAAATCGTGATCTTTGGGGGATCTTGAGCTTGGCTGAAGCTTTTCTTTCTCTGTGTTTGGATGCGTTTCTAACTCAGACTATGCTGTCTGGAGGTAAAGCAGTGCGTTTCCCTCTGGCCAACATTCCCTCAAACATTTCTCCATCAGCGTTCCCAGAACGTTTGACTAAATGTTTTTAAGAACATCAGCAGACTCTCAGTCTTTTACTGCTCCTGGTTTTAGTTTCTACGGCCAAAATATTCAACATAACCCCACTCCCACACCAAACGGATGTTTCCAGTAGATTTGGAAATCGTGAACACAAGCAGTGCTGCCTCCTCACCTGATTCTTGTTTTGTTTATGTCACTGAAATGTTTCAGATCAGCAGGTTTAAGTATCAGACAGATGACCTGAGAAAATGTAAATGGGAGTTCTTCTATTATTGAATTTAGAACAGAAACAATTGTGGTCCTGAGAGAAGGAACTAAATAATAATCTACATATCTGAACGTTCTCTTCTTTCCCTGCTTTGTTTCAGAGGCCAGAGATCTAAAATGGGAGGCAAGCTTAGCAAAAAGAAGAAGGGATACAGCGTGAACGACGACAAGTCCAAAGACAAGGATGCCAAAGCGGAGGGAGCCTCTGCAGAGGAAGGCGAAGCACCGAAAGACAAGAAGGATGAGGCCCCGGCAGCCACCGATGCTAATGAGGTAGCAAACGACACGGCTGCCAAAGACGCGCCGGCCGCAGACGCTGCAGCACCAAAAGAGGAGGAGAAGAACGCAGCTCCCGCCAAAACGGAGTCCGAAAAACCCGCCGCTAACGCCGAGGCACCCAAAAGCGCAGAAGCTGGCAAGGCTGAGGAGAAACCAGCTGCCCCGGCCAAAGATTCAGCTCCCCCTGCCAAGGAGCCGGAGGCAAAGACCGCGGCAGCCGCCCCGGCAGCAGAGAGCAAAGGTGAGGCCGACGCCAAAAAGACTGAGGCCCCCGCAGCACCAGCAGCCAAAGCCGAGACAGCTGCCTCCCCCGACCCTAAGCCAACAGAGGCAGCTCCAGCACCGCCCAAGGAGGCCGTCGCACCTAGTTCTACACCAGCCGCTGAACCTCCCGCCAAGGAGGTGAACGCCACAGAGGCACCAAGCAAGGATCAAACCGTAGCAGTTCAAGATTAATGGACAGCTTCTTTTTCGGAAATGAAGAAACAAATTACCTAACTCCACAGTGAAGATTTAAAAAAGGGGGGAAATGAAATTTACTGGCCCGCCCACATCACAACGATAATAATAATAATAACAGTAATAACGATGATAATAGTTGTAACGATGGTTTGTTGATCGAGCTGAACTGGAGAAAACCACCTGGAGATGATTCCCAAACGATGATTACTGATATTATTGTTATGTTTTACTCTATTTTTTCTGCTGTAGTCTTTGAACTTTGATACAGATTTGTGTTGATCATCTCCATCATCTCATCCAGAGGTTTCGCCCACAGAAGGCCTGCTTTCTACTCACCTGCATCCGCTGCCCTTTGGGTACCGACCTGAGAGAAGGATCGGGGGAAGGAGGGTTAGAAACCACCTCACCAGCTAAACTTAGACCTGTCCCCTTTGTTGGCTTTGGCCTGGTACTTCCAGATTTCTGCTGGTTTTTCCAGGAAGTCCGGATGTATCGGGCCAAGTTTCCTTTGGTATTGGGTTTTGTGGACCCACATTCATCTCTAAAAACACTTTAGCAGAAAGTTAAAAGTAAGAACCAGGAAGAGTGCTGCGGCTTTATGACATTTTAAAGGTTGACCAAAAGGCCAGCTTTGCAGTGAACCAAATGTTGGATTTTTTCTAACAAACGTATGCATTTTGTACAGAAACCCTTAGATATATTGTAATTACACTAAGTGGGTTTTTTAACATTTGTAATACTTTAAAAAAAATCCGCAAAGCCTTGCTGAAAAAGATCTTTACAATGTTCTTATGAAGCTGAAAGCGATTCTCTGGTCTTACGGAGACAAAGCCGACCGACGACCCAGATTAAACAGGAAGTAGAATATTGGAGAGCGTTTGATGCTTAAAAATGCCTAAATGAGATCTTTGCTGCATCAGGAAGACGCTTCAGATACATTTCTACGGCCAACGATTGGGTTCAAACAGTTTTGTGTTTTAGTTGCCTTAATTAAAACTCAACAACTTTAAACTTCCCCTAGAAGAAGTGTTAAAAATAACAGGTAGCAGCTCTGAGGCGGTACTTCCTGTTTTTAGAAACACCTCAGGGTGGCGTTTTGATGCTATTTGGTCCACGGTTGTTGGACTGCATGTCCCTGTGCAGTCCAAACTGAAAACAACCAAAACCTACAGGAGCAAGAGGTTAAATCTGCCTTGTCTCCATAGCAACAACAGACCATCATGTGATCATGGGTTGAAAGAGGCCTCTGACTTAGACATCTGTCGTTTTTTTACATATATATTCACACACACACACACACATCTATGTACTGGTGGAAGAAAACGATGTAAAGGGGAAACCAGGAAGGTTTGTGAAAAGGTTGAAGGTCATCCATTCGCTCCACAAACGTTTCTTCTTTAGCTCATGACCCAACTCATGAAACTTGTTGGTTCTGGAGGGAACTGGGCAGCAAACACAAAAGGAAACTATCTCTTCACTTCCAACAACGTACCAGCAAACCACCAAACGTTCCTCATTCCACCTTTGCATAAATGCAGGTATATGTGTAAGTCATCTCAGCCATCCATCTGCCACCTTTTCCTTTCCATCCGTCGGACATGCAGCGTGTTGCTTTGCAGCACTCGTAGCAGAAACAAACACACGAGGACGCGTGTGTGTCGCTCCATTCCGTTTTTTTCCCTCTCTTGACTCGGTAAATTGCATGTCCGTGGTTGGGTGAACCTGTAGTCCTGTCTTCTTTGGTCAAGTGAAAAAAATAATAATTTCTCCGTCAACTACGATTGATATTCCCATTCCATGTTTCACCTCCGCTATTTCCACACGCTCACTCAGACAAACAAAAAAATGAAATGAAAATTGATTGATGCGTTTAAAATTATATGTACTTGTATAAATGGTGCAACAGTAATAAAATGTAAGAAAATGACTTGAGAGTCTTGTGAAAGTGATTTTTTTCCTGAGTGAGCTCCAGAATACGGAATTCCCTGTTGGGCGAACGGTGAAGAGGAAAGAAGAGGAGACGGTTTATTTAAGGGAAGACCAACATTCAGGTCAGATCAGTGATGGATGTTTGATTCCCTGGAATAAAACCGACCAATCAGAGGATGTTCAGCAGCCACAAGCATGAAAACAGGATCCCACTGCAGGTGCAGGATCTTTGGTTTAATAAAAGATGTGACAGGAGCATCACCAGCAGCATCCACGTGCTGCAACAGATTCAGGGACTGGTGTTAAATAATCCTTCACAGGTTTAAAGCAGCGCAGGTGTTTTCAGGCTGAAGCTCCCACCTTCTGCGTGGAGCCGTTTGAGTTGGTTCGTTACTGTCTGAGAGCCCTCAGCGCCCAGCTGAGCTGTCATTTTCACCCTCAGCTGTGGTATGAAAAAAGAGAAATAGTGACGGGAACAGAGGAACGAGATGAATACCAAAGAGCAGAGCCTCAGCAGACACTGCTGACGGATGTCTATCTCTTCCCCTCTCACCCCTCCCTCCCCGTCACAGGGATGGCGGGGCAGTTAATCATAAACCTAATCGTACCGCTGGGATCTACGCCCGCTCAAACGCCGTTTGTCAATCATTAATGTGTTCCTTGTGCCTTTTTACCCAGATAACCACAAAGTTAGATCTGGTGGAACAAATCTGACAAACACAGAAACAAACACGTCACATTTAGTGGTCTGAGAACCAATAAAGCTAGAGAATTTAAATAAACAGTAAATCTGCTTTCCTGTTTAAATCTATGGTGTTCAACAGAAATGTCGAAGCTGCTGTCAGTGACTCATGAGGGTCACCATGGTAACCACCAGTAAATGGTCGATGGCCTTAGCTGCTAATATTAACAGTAGAGGCGACAGTTTCATTAACCTTAACACGCATAATGTGTTTTCTGTAACGTTGCAAACACACAATTTATTAAATCTGTTAAAAAAGCGGCACTCTTCAGTCAGCGACCAAGCATCGGTTTGGTTTGTTAGGCCCAGTGCCTTTCATCCTAAACTTGGACGTAAGAAGCTAATGACAGTTACATTAGACCATCCTGTTAGGCGGCCATTTTTGTGGCCGCCTTACCCGGTTTCACACTGCAAGCATCAGTGGAACGGAACAGTAGCGGAGCGGCTCACTCGCAAACTTCAAAGTGGTCCTTTTCACACTGGGAGAGTCTTGGCCGCGGCACGGCTTCCTCGCTGCGCCTCGCTGTACCCGCGAGATTCTAAAATCCCTCGAGACTTCCAACACCTTCCTCATCCAGAGATCACAACCCCAGCAAGGAATCACACCATTGCACTTCTCGAAAGTAACTGGTGGTAAACAAAACCGTTCGGTCACACGTACCGACGTAAGTTATATACAACATTGCAACGTTGCATTTTATTTTGAAAATAACTGGGGATTTTACACTAAAAGTGTGTGGTTTCCTGTCTCGCACTATGTGAATTGTGGAAATTGACGTGTCCTAGAAGCGGCTCGTGGAAATAATAGAAGTCGATCCTATCTTTAGCGGCATGGCACGGCATGCCGCTTCTGGGATGCGACTGGAAATTGCCATGTTGCTGCTGGTTTGAAACACTCCGTAGACTATAACTGGATTCTATTTGAAGCGGTGCCGCTTCACAACCGTTCCGTTCCGCTGATACTAGCAGTGTGAAACCGGGGAGAAATGAGCACTAAGGTGTTGATATAATGATTGATGCTTTGACCCTTTCAGCCCAAGTTTACTAAACTCTGTACAGCTCAGAGAGCTAAAGGCTGTGACATCATCACACCAAAGTGGATGCATTCTAAAACTTTTAAATCACAAACTCTAATTTTGATAGTAGAAAAATGGTAAAAAAAAAAAAAAAAAAAGCTGTTCAGTCCAGCTGTCTGTGACCCGTTTAACTTCTGGAGGATGTTCTGATGTTTTAGTGTCACAAGATTTACAAATGAACTGAACTGTTTACTCAACACACACACACGCACACGCATACGCACACACACACACACACACACACACACACACACACACACACACACACACACACACACACACACACACACACACACACACACACACACACACACACAGGTCCCCAACCCCTTCCATGTTCCCCTCTAGTCGCTTCCTGTTTATTTTTCCCAACTCCATTATTAAGTTCTCCAGTATTACTTTCAGGTTTATTAGTTCTCCAATCTTTAAGTGTTTAAAGTTTAAAGTGTATATTAATAGTATTTTAATGTTTTATGTTCCTTCCTAACTTAGTTAATTAGTCTCTCCTGCCTCGCTTCAGCTCTCACTCCCCACTAGTGTTGTCAAAAAAATCGATACCTAGATATAAATCGATACTAAACGTGGTATCTAAATTAGATATTCCATCCCTGTGGTATTGATATTATGGACTAATATATACAGCCTTCTTCAAGTACACCGACATGCACGACAGCCAGATGCCGTACAGCAACCTCCGCCTCCCAGACACACAGAAGAAGAAGATGCTGCATGGCTACATTGCAATTTTCCACGCGAGTTGTCTCCGATCCAAGTTTTGTCTGCCAAATAAATAAACAAAAACATAAACAGCGAATTTGGGAGGTGCTTCACAGCCCAACTTAATTAGCATACCAAGTCCGACCCGTAGTTGTATATTCACGCTTATGTGTTTAAAGGAAACTCCCGTTTATTGCAACCCGGACTTTATATATATATATATATATATACATACATATAAAAAAAAATAAAAGTGATGGGGAAAAAGGTTGATCATCTGATATATATTTGTATATATCTGGCTATAGGGTTATATATATATATATATATATATATATATATATATATATATATATATATATATATATATATATATATACATATATACATATATATATATATATATATATATATATATACATATATATATACATATATATATATATATATGTATATATATATATATATATATATATATATGTATATATATATACATATATATATACATATATATATATATATATATATGTATATATATATATATATATATATATATATATATATATATATATATATATAACCCTATAGCCAGATATATACAAATATATATCAGATGATCAACCTTTTTCCCCATCACTTTTATTTTTTTTTATGTATTATGTATTTTTGAAATAGTAATTAATTAACATTCAATAACATTACAATTTCTGTTGACTTAATTTTAAATCAATATTCAGAGTGCACATAAAAATGCAATTTTAACGGTTTTCTTAAAGCAGGAACGTTTAACCAGAACGCTCTCCTTCCTTCTGCTCTGTGTAAACCTGAGCTGGTAACCTACTTGTGCGTAATCAAATGTCTATAGGGGGAAAAGATGGAAAAGCTATAGCCATGAGGTTCACTTTTGCCTCAGACCGACTTATTGCTGTTTTATGGTGTGGCTGAATCTGCGATCCACTGCCACACGGACTGGAATAACAAATGCTGCAGTAACATGAGTTGTAGTCAGGTTCATGAGGAGTCACTGGCTGGAGCGGACCTGACTTTAATACGTCATCCCAAAATAGAAGCTAATATCTTAATTTGACCTTGAATGAAAAATGTTGTTATAAAACTTCTTAAAAGTTTTTATCACGGAGGAGGCAGCGCTCATTTCTGCCTTCAGTCTGACGGCGCGCCGGAGTTTGCGCAGCATGCGCTTATTGAATCTGTATGTGTGTGTGTGTGTGTGCGGCACAGCTCCATGAGCTGCTCCAGTCACCGCGTCTCGTTATTGGCGCTATTTAAACCAATGTTGTAAAATTACTTCTGCCCAGCCCAGATGTGCTCACATGTGCACCCGTGAGCCGTGGTTCCGCTGGAACGTGTCTGACCCCTGACAGATGCACTCTGAACTTCAGATCTTCAGCGCACTGTTAATAGCCTGACACGTTTAGAATGCTGTCCCACAGTCAGCGTGGTAATATAATAATATAATAATGCTAAAATGCTCAGATGGGAATCATTTGATTCATTTTGTTACATCCACAATGTTCTGTGTGTGAGGTTTACAATGTCAGAACACCTGCATGAGACAGGGTGTTAATTACAATCTGCCAGAATGACTCACCACCTTCAGATTTCTTCAACATCGTTAAAAATGATCAAATACGGAACATATCTTGCTGTTGACAGCGTGCGCAGGCCAGAGCGCTGAAGCTCGGAGCGCATTATTATTATGAAGCTATGGGCACATGCAGAGGACACACACACACACACACACACACACACACACACACACACACACACACACACACACACACAAGCAAAATATACTTGTTTTCAGTTGCATTTATTGGGCCCACTTACTTTTTCTTAGGCCCACCCACAAATGAGTTTCTGGCTACACTAATGGTGACATATGACAGACTTCTCTGAGCTCCGCAGCCATTACACTTTTCACCTCGCTCACCCCCTAGCGGCAGCGCACCACACAGGGAATCCCTGATTTAGCTGATTCCATTCTCTATCTCTGTGAACTGCTGTAAGATATTATTGTCAGTTGTGTTGAAATTATGTTTATTATTTTATTAGTACTTACTATTTTGCTGATTTTTGTATTGAACTTTGTATGGAATGATTCTTTGGACAAGTTAACAGGATTGAGATTACGATCCGCAATAGACAAATGATTGCAGCACCTCATGCTGTGTTTGCCTTATCGTGTTGATTCTGACCCTTTTATATCTGATCGTAGTGTTCATTACTTTACTTATTATACTTTACTTATTATTTCTTGTTTTGATGCTTATCATTTTTTTTCTTGATTCGTGATTGATGTAGCTTTCGTAGTTAATGGTGACGAGTTATGGAAGTGGATAATGTTTCTTATTGTTTTACTTATTTTTATTTTCCTCCTTTGGTTTTGTTTGTTTTGTTGCTTCCCTTTGTTTGGTTATCCTATTCGGATAAACAGGAGGGAAT